TGAGATTCCCATGGACTATTCTACACAACTGACAGATAAGGAAGATTAACGACAAAGCCAGGAAATTAAAGCACAGATCATTCCATGATGGACAGTTCAGGGGGGAAGAAGGGGAGCACGAACTTGGCACAGATGCCTGGATCCAGGAGCTTGAAGCCCTACGGCCTCAAACAGCAGAGAGCCGGGCACTCAGGCTCGGAGCCACATCCCACGTCTCCTTCCTGAAACAACCCAAGACCCGAGAAGCCTGTGTGCTCCTGTCACTGCACTGGGTCATCTTGTCGCCCTCATGCCTGAGGATGGTGTGGAAGAGTGTACGTCACCAGCTCCTGCCTTTGTTTTTCCTGTAGATCAGCAGGAGTCTCCATGGAAAGACCTGAGCCATGAGCACGAGAGGAGCACAGCCAGCCCCACCCCCCACCAGGAAGTCCCTGCATTGGAGCAAGAAATGTAGTGACTTGCCAGACACTTGGTTACTGGCTCACAGACCCATCCACAGGGATACACTGCCAGATGCTCCTCCCTCTCCAGGGGACAGAGAAGTGGGTTGTGACCAGGCTGCCTGTTGGGACAGGAGGGCTAGTCTCAGCCTACAGGGGAGGAAACTATGCCATGCCCGAGCCCCGGGAATCCACTCAGGGCCCTACAGGAAGGTACCTAAGGCCAGGGACTAACTCTTAGGTCAGGAGCTCCCATGCAGAGATGGCCCCTGCAGGTCACAGTGACAACAGGCCCATTAGTGGCTCTGCGTGGGGGCAGTCACAGGGACTCAGGGTGGACAAACCTTCAGCTGCCCTCTTGTATAATGGGCGGGGTCATGGGCCTGGGAGCTGTCTTCCAGGGAACAAGGTCACTCCTGCACTCGGGTGAGTCCCAGGTGCCCCATATCTGATGTGCTGGACCTAGGCCATCCTGGTCCTGATTTACTGTAATACCGAATCATCACATGAGCCTCCTCCAGCACTTGCTCCTGTTTTGCAGGAACAGCTCTGAAAACCATGTAAACAGTGTCTTGTATCACAAAACTATCGAAATATCCAGGGTGTTTACTATGAGCCATGATTTTACGTGTGTCTAACAACTGGAATTTCTGGAGTGGGTCTACTTTTTTTTAATGTAGGAGTACTGCTATTTAATCAGTCACTGATTAGCTGATTGAATTGTGCATGAACTCCACCTTACTTTCTTTCATTTTTTTTACAATTTTATTTATTGAATCACCATGAGAAGTTACAAAGCTTTCGGGTTTAAGTCTCGGTCATACAATGAAACACCCGTACCTTCACCACTGCCCATTCTCAACCACCAAAAACCCCAGTATACCCCCATCCCACACCCTCCCCCTACCTGTGGGGCAGATGATTTTCACATTACTCTACTTTGATCACATTCAATATTTCGACACCAGACCCACCATTATTATTTGAGATTTTACCCCAACACTCGCAATAGCACAGCGGTAGGGCATTTGCCTTGCACGCAGCCAACATGGCCGACCCGAGTTCGATTCCTCCGCCCCTCTCAGAGAGCCCGGCAAGCTACTGAGAGTATCTCGCCCGCACAGCAGAGCCTGGCAAGCTCCCCGTGACGTATTCAATATGCCAGACACAGTAACAACAAAGTCTCCAATGGAGACGTTACTGGGCCCGCTCGAGCAAATCGACGACAACGGGAGGGCCTTTACTTTACTTACCCCAACACTCAGATCTGCTGAAAAGGCAACAGTAGACAATTTGTGTTCTATTGCTGGTTATGAAAAACATATGATGTCATGTGGCTGCAGTAAGGCCATGTGATTTTGAAATTCTAAAATTTTAACACTTAAATCTGGAGGGATTTCTGGCAAAAGCCACTGGGTTTCGAGATTTGCTCCTGAGTCTCTGGGATCATGGCCGTTGAGCAGCTTGATCAGGAGCCAGAAAGGCCATTTGTGGGTGATGACTTGGGGTCTTGTTGGGGTGGGGAGGACAAGCCCGGCTCCACCCCCATCCCCTGAGGCCCAACAAGTTTCCTCACTGGGGGCCCAAGCCTGACTGTCCAATGGCCGCTGGAGAATGACGGCTACCGAGCCGCCAGGAGGAAGCAGTTGGAAAGACAGCACCCTTTCCTCCCTGGGGTGGCCCAGCAACAGCAACCTACTGCGGGGTCTGGACACATTTCTGCAAAAAGCTGCTGGGTTTCAAGATTTGTTTCTGAGTATCTGGGATCATGGTCGTTAAGCAGCTTGATCAGGAGCCAGAAAGGCCGTTCGCAAACGATGACTTGGGGTCTCATTGGGGTGGGGAGGACAGGCCCGTCTCCACCCCCATTCCGTGAGTCCCAAAATGTCTCATCACTGCGGGCCTAGACCACAATGGCCTCTGGAGAATGACGGCCACTGAGCCGCCAGGGGGGAACAGGCAGAGGGACAACACCCTTTCCCCACTGGATGGCCCGGGATCAGTAACCTACTGCGGGGTACGGATGCAGTTCTGCCAAAAGCCACTGAGCTTCGAGATTTGTTTCGGAGTCTCTGGGGTCAAGGCCGTTAAGCAGCTTGATCTGGAGCCAGAGAGCCCGTTCGTGGGCGATGACTTGGGGTCTTTGGGGTGGGGAGGACAGGCCCGGTTCCCCCCCCCCCATCCTGTGAGGCCCAACAAGTTTGTCACTGCAGGCCTGAGCCTGACTGTCCAATGGCCTGTGGAGGATGACAGCCACTGATTCGCCAGGGGGGAGTAGGTGGAGTGACAACATCCTTTCCTCCCTGGGGTGGCCAGGTGACAGTAACGTACTGTGGGGTCCAGACACATTTCTGCCAAAAGCTACTGGGTTTTGAGATTTGTTTCTGAATCTCTGGGATCATGACCGTTAAGCATCTTGATCAGGAGTCAGAGAGGCCGTTCATGGGCGATGACTTGGGGTCTTGTTGTGGTGGGGACAGGACCGGCTCCACCCCCATCCTGTGAGGTCCTGCGTGTCTCGTCACTGTGGGCCCAAACCTGACTGTCCAGTGGCCTCTGAAGGATGGCGGCCACTGGGCCACCAGGGGGAACAGGCCAAGGCATGAAACTTATTCCCACCTGGGTTGGCCCAGCACCGGTAACCTACTGCAGGTACCGGGCGCATTTCTGCCAAAAGGCTCTGGGTTTTGAGATTTGTTTCTGAGTCTCTGGGATCATGGCCATTAAGCAGTTCAATCAGGAACCAGAGAGGCCATGCCTCCAATTCTATAGCTGAGCAGGAGGTGGTTTGGGGGCGTCTCCCACATACCTAACTTTTGGCCGTTTACATTCTTGGTTAAGCTTTGCCCCAAATTTTTGGGGGCTAGCCAAAGGCACAGCAGCAATTTTGGGGTATCTGGAAGTCTGAAGGCGCCATCAGGCTCCTGATGCACTTGCCTCACAGGTACAGATTGACCTGCTGGCGGCAACCATACCCCTTGGGTCTACTTTTAAACCATGAATATAATATCTTGTGGATTGGTGTGGTAATACAGCTGATAAAACATTCACCTTGCACTTGACTGACCCAGGTTCAATACACTAGCACATATATGGGCTCCAGACCTCTGACAGAAGTGATCCTTTAGCTCAGAGGTAGGAATAAGCCACAGACAAAGAAGGGTGTTTACCAAAAATACTGCAACGTCAAAAGGTAACTCTAATGAAAGGAAACAAGAACAACAAATACTCAAGTGTGAATTCTGAGGCACCCCTCCCAGGTTGCCAGATGTGAAGAATAGTGAGTCGGTAGGTCCCATAGTATGAGGTGTTTGGTGTTCCGCTCTCCAGAGAAACAAAGACACGGGGACCATAACAACTGATGGCAGATAGACCAGAGCACAGTGAACCTTTAATTCAGAACCGAATAGCATACTTATAGAACATCTGAGGGAGATCGAGGTACAGGACTGCATGTATTGTGATTTACCATTTACAGAGGTCAAGTCACAGGCGCTGGAGCAGTAGTCCAGAGGGGAGGACATTATCCTTGTACGGGGCAGTTCAGTTTCAATCCCTGCCATCCCATATGGTCATCAGGAACTGCCAGAAGTAACTACTGATTGTGGAGGCAGGAGTAACCACAGAACATCACTGCATGTGAACCAAAAAGCAAAATAAAATGTCAAGCCAGAGTGTCACAACAAAGAATAAGACAGTGGTGAGACTTGACAGCCCTGAGCGAAGTGATTTTATTTTGCCTTTTTATTCAAATTCCTTTTTTTAACTTTTAATTAGTGAGACACCATGAGGCACAGTTGTAGACTTACAAAGTTCTGTGCTTGGGTTTCAAGTATACAATGACCAAATACCCATCCTTCAACCAGTGCACATTTCCCACCACCACGTATCCCTGTATCCCTCCGACCCCCCACGCCCTCATCCCACCCTGCCTCTGTGGCAGGGCATTCCCCTTTGTTCTCTCTCTTATTTTGGGTGTTGTGGTTTGCAAAAGAGGCATTGAGTGGCAATCATGTTTGGTCTATAGTCTACTTTCAGCATGCTTCTCCCATCCTGGGAGGATCCTTGCAACACTCTTTATTTGGTGCTCCCTTCTCTATCTGGGCTGCCTTTTCCCCTAGCATGTGTGACTGGCCTCCAAGCCATGAAGCAAAATTCCTGGTACTAATCTTGGCAACTCTTGACCATGACAGCCCTGAGCAAAGGAGATTTTTTTTTCATTTTATTCATATTCCTCTAAGTTTTCACCAGAAATCTGAAAAGTACATGTTAACATACATATCAAGTTCAAATTCGGGGACCCTGGCATAGACTTTCCCTTATAGACTGACATCACAAAAAGTTTGTTACACATAGCTAGGATTATTACCTCCCTGGCTGCACTTTTGTAGCACAGCATCCCATGGTACAAAGAAAAAAGACTTTCTGAAAAGGGCCTGTTTTGACATTAAAAATTGTTATTAGGTCATTGAGTTATCTACTATGAATTTTATGATGTTTCCTAAGTCCAGAAGGAAACACAAAGACCTTCCCACATTCTTGACATATATAAGATTTCACCCCAGTGTGAACTGCCCGATGTACAATTAGGCCGGAGGCCTGATGAAAGGCCCTCCCACATTCCTTACAAACAAATGGTTTCTCTCCAGTGTGAATTCTCACATGACGAGTAAGGGTTGAGGAAGAAACAAAGGCCTTCCCACACTCCTTACAAATATAAGGTCTCTCCCCAGTGTGCTGTCGCATATGGCGAATGAGGGTTGAGGATTCCACAAAGGCCTTTCCACATACCTTACATCCATAAGGCTTTTCTCCATTGTGAATTCTCATATGCATATTGAGGCTTGAGGAAGAAACAAAGGCCTTTCCACATACCTTACATCCATAAGGCTTCTCTCCATTGTGAATTCTCATATGTCGAGTAAGGCCTGAGGATACAACAAAGGCCTTTCCACATTCCTTACAAACATATGGTCTATCTCCAGTGTGAATTCTCATATGGCAGAGAAGGCTTGAGGATACAACAAAGGCCTTTCCACATACCTTACATCCATAATGCTTCTCTCCATTGTGAATTCTCATATGCATATTAAGGCTTGAGGAATAAACAAAGGCCTTTCCACATACCTTACATCCATAAAGCTTCTCTCCATTGTGAATTCTCATATGTTGAGTAAGGCCTGAGGATTCAACAAAGGCCTTCCCACATTCCTTACAAACATATGGTCTCTCTCCAGTGTGAATTCTCATATGGCAGGTAAGTCTTGAGGAATTAACAAAGGCCTTTCCACAAACCTTACATCCATAAGGCTTCTCTCCATTGTGAATTCTCATATGCCGAGTAAGACCTGAGGATTCAACAAAGGCCTTCCCACATTCCTTACAAACATAAGGTCTCTCTCCAGTGTGAATTCTCATATGGCAGGTAAGTCTTGAGGAATTAACAAAGGCCTTTCCACAAACCTTACATCCATAAGGCTTCTCTCCATTGTGAATCCTCATATGCACATCAAGGCTTGAGGACACAGAGAAGGCCTTTCCACATAGCTTACATCCATAAGGCTTCTCTCCTTTGTGAATTCTTATATGCCGACTAAGGTTTGAGGAATAAGTAAAGGCCTTCCCACACTCCTTACATATATAAGGCCTCTCTTCAGTATGAGTTTTCATATGCCCGGTGAGGGTTGAGGATCGAGTGAAGGCCTTTCCACGTGCCTTATATTTTATGAGGTTTCTCTCCAGTATGAATTTTCCTGTGTCTAGAAAGGTATGAGGAGTAACCAAAGACCTTCCCACATTGCTCACACACATATGCTTTCTTTCCAGTATGGATTCTACAATGTTGTAAGAGGTCTGAGGGTTGAGTGAAGGCCTTCGCACAGTCCTTACATGCATGTGGTTTCCCTCCTGTGTGGATGTTCATGTCATCACATTGGGGTGATGCCGGATTCAAACCACGCCCTTGCTGCTGATACTCTTGGGGATTCTGTCCACTGTGGGTTTCTAAGGGAAAATCACAGTCCTGGGAACATGGGAAAGCTCCCCCACATTCCTTACACTGAGACAGGGTCAATCCATGGTGACTTTGCTTGTGGGGCTTTCGGTGTGAAGGACTCGCTGTAAACAGTGCTCCTCTCCCACATTCAAGGGTCTGCTCCAATGTTGGGGTATGTGTCTGTAGACTGAGAATAACAGATTGCGTGAAACTTTTCCCCGGGGAGGGATTCTTCAGAATGAGGTTGCTCTCTCCATTCTGATCACCCTCGGAGGCAATCCTGCTTGCCTTGGCATCCCCATGTGGCTGAGGGCACAAATGCACACTCGAAACTTTTTCACAGTGTGAAGGGTCAGAGACATTCCACTCGGGCTGGCTGCTTCCCTGTAGAACAGCAGAGGATTCCAATTATCGTTCTCTGCCTTAAGTGTCTCCATGTCAAAAGAAATTGATACCTGCAGGTTGATTTCTAACATTTGCAACATACCAATGCAATTCCCGACAAGTGGATGGCAATACCATGGACTAACCTAATGTTTCTGTAAGACACACATGGAAAATTGATGAATGAGGGGCCATTAATTTGTTAAATATTTTTTAACTCGATGAACAGGCAGAAATAACTCCCTCCACAGAATACTGATGCACCAGATTCAAGATAAAACACACTAAATTCTGTGTTCAGTTCTATCTCAATGTGGAGTAAATCTGGGGATGCATTTGTTAAGAAAAACTGCATCCAACACTGCTGACACTGACCACAAGGGCCATTGAAAACATCTCACCATAGGCAGGTTCTTTTCAGGGTCAATGCCTTTTTCTGTTCTGTATTTTGTTTTCATTTAGGGTTGGGGTACACCATTCAGTGCTCAGCATTACCAGTAGGTCTCTGTGAAACACATGGCAATGTGGATGGACCAGTTTAAAAGACAAGGTATTTTCACGAATATCATTTGTAGATACTTTCAATCAAATGAAAAAGCAAGGCATATACATGAAACATATTACAATTTTCTTTAGGTTTTGAGCAGAGATGTCAGCACCCAGTTAAGATAAGGGTCCTCAAATTCAAGCATCATACTCCAAATTTTTTTTCCAGCCGTTCCCGGCCCTGCACTTTAAAAATAACATGCTGGTCCACTGATATTTTCTGTTAGTATTATAAAATTGATTCCAAACTTGCAAATCTTACTGGCTCACTCATACTCGCTGATTGAGTTCCTAAATCCCGAAGCCATGCATTGAGTTCTGAAACGAAACACAATATACAATGTAAGTATTCTTCGAATGGAGGGGCTGGGGCAATAGCACAGTGGGTAAGGCATTTGCTTTGCACACAGTTTACCCGGGTTCGATTCCCAGCATCCCATATGGCCCCTTGAGCACTGCTAGGAGTAATTCCTGAGTGCATGATCCAGGACTATCCCCTGTGCATTTCTGGGTGTGACACCCCCCCCCCAAAAAAAAAGAAAATGAATTCTTCGAAGGGGATGGGACATCCTTAAACAGTACAGCTTGAGGACATCTATTTGGTTCTCACAGTCCAAAGTATCCCACAGAAAAGGGAAGGTCCCTGGAAAGGATTGCTGTGAAAAGCTTGGCAATCCTACAAGACATGCATGCATGCCTCTCTTCCCCGGCCTCAGGGTTCCTCCTTTCAGCCAGGAGATCACTGCAGGCTTCAACCCAGAATGCCCTGAACCTCACAGTTATGGAGCATGGATTAGTGACAAGGAAAATGTGACAAGTAAACCGCATGTATCCATATAAAAATGGAGTAAATTACTGAAAAGGCATGAACAGAATCTTCACATCTGAAATGTTCTAGATTGTGGTTATCCAAGAGCTAAGATCCAGGTCCTAATTTAAGAATAAAATACGGGGCCCATAAAACACCACAAATAGTATAACTGGGGTCTTAAATGTCCAACAGGGGTTTGATCACAGCACAGTACGTAGTATTTTTTTTTTCTCTAGTTTGAGATCCTCACCTGGGGATACTCAGGGCTTCTCCCTGACTGTGTACTCAAAAATCACCTTTGGTTTTGCTTGAGGATCATTATGGGTTGGTGAGAATAGAATGTATGTCCAGAACTTGCAAGACAAACACCGTGTTCACTGTACTGTCACTATAGGTTCGGCATCACATGCAATGTACTAAGCCTGTGCGAACTGATGCCTGAGTGCAGTAAACCCCAAAGCTTAACAAATCCAAAGATGAACAAAGATGACCAAAGCTCCCAGATGGTTTTTAAAATAAACATAAAAGGATGCAGACAGACAGCACAGCAGGTCAGGCACTGGCCTTCCTCAAAGTCAATTAAAGTTCGATCCTGACATTCAGTAGGGTCTCTCAAGCCATCAGCTGTGATCCCTGACTGCATAATCCAGAGGCAAATCCTGACTCCGGATGAACCAAGAACCACTGAAAGTGCCCACGAGCACTGAAATAGACCAACCTCTGATGGGGTGAGGCCCTAAGAAATACATAAACTGGGTTGGGAGCGATATTACAGCAGGCAGGACACAGACACTGCACACACGTACAGGATTGATCCCCAGCAGCACACAATGCCCCAGACCACAACCAGGATGAATAACTGAATACACAGCCAGAAATAATCTCTACGTATTTTTAAGTATAACCCCAAACCAAATCAAAACAAAATAAGAGAATGCCCCGCCACAGAGGCAGGGTGGGCAGTGGGATGGGGGTGGGAGGGATACTGGGTTAGTGGTGGTGGAGAATGGGCACTGGTGGAGGGATGGGTACTCGATCACTGTATAACTGAAACCTAAGCATGAAAATTTGTAAGTCTACAACTGTACCTCGTGGTGTTTCATTAATAAAAATTTTAAAAAATAAAAAAATAAAAATAAAAATAAATTAACTGAAATTGTGGGCCTGGTGCAATTGTTCCAGGATTAAGACAGCAACGTTTTACGCTGCCAAGCGTGTTCAAACCTCAGAATCCCATGGCTCCTGAGCACCCCTGGGAGTGTTCCCTTAGCACAGAGACAAGAGGATTCAGGTTGTGCCCCAAATAAAAGCAAAACCCCCCAAAATACGAGATATTATGTGTAGTACAAGAAGTGATCAGAGAACTCAGCATTGGCAGGAACCAGAAACTTTTTTGAGGGACCTAAGTGATGGCTTAGCGCATGGGGAGCTTGCCATGCACGGGACTAACCTGGGTTGATCCCGAACACTCAAGATTCATGCAAACCCACAGAGAGTGATTCCTAAGGACAGAGCTTAGAGTAAGCCCTGGGCATCGCCAGGTGAGCACCAACTAGAAAACCAGGGACAGAGCTAGAGAAAGAGCTACTGCATGGCTGTCCTCGCCAGTACAGTCACAACTACTGTTGGAAACACAGTCACGGCCCAGCACAGGGAGCCGACATGGGACTGTCCAGACAAGGTCATCCCCGCACTGCTCTCACCAATGGCCCACAGGTTCTGGTAGGTCTCCAGCATTACGTCCTTGTAGAGCTTTCTTTGAGAGGCATCCAAGCACATCCACTCTTCTGGGGTGAAGCTCACGGCCACATCAGGGAAGGTCACCGTGCCCTGAACCAGCATACAAAGGGGGCAGGAGTCAGGGTCTGTCCTCACCCTGTACCCTGGGCTGTGAGGCCAGGAACCCAGGGCCCTAGAGGGTCTCAGGGTCTGTCCCATCGGGAGGAACCAGCCTCCACCTGAACTTCTGGCCAACGGGTCCCAACTTCTCTAAGAAAGCTGCATCTATGAAAATGTGAGCATCCTCTTCTAGAAGGTTCCTGAAGGTGGCAGACTTGCTTCTGACCCCAGGGAATTCAACCACTGCTCCTATGAGCACTGCAGAGAGTAAAAACTGAGCACACAATCAGTGGGATCCAAATGAGTGACCCTGCTTTCAGCTCAAAACACTAAACATACACCCCTTGTATCCCACAGTCACTTGAGCTGCAAGAGCAAACAGGTCCAGCACACCCGGGGACCCATGATGCACATCAGGCACAGATTCAGGAGGAAGCCCTGAGCATCTCCACTGTGGCACAAAAATAAATACTAAAAGAAACAAAACAGCATGACTGTGTAATAGGACAGTGAGTAGGGCTGGTGATCCCCACCATTCCATAGGGTCCCCTAAGCAGTGCCAGGTACAATGCCAGAATGCACAGCCAAGAGTATAATCCCCAGAATCACTGCGTGTGGCTCCGAAAACAAAACAAAATACCCAGACACCAGCCTTTGATGCCCAGCACCCCATTTGGTCCCTGAGATATGTCAGGAGTCATCCTTGTGCACCAGTAATCTTTGAGCTACTGTGGTCCTAAAGACAAATACAACAAAACTGACACACGTGGCCTCAGACAGTAGAGAACCGGGCACTCCGACAAGGCGGCAGGATCCTTCCTGAAGCAAGTCAGAGACAAGACAGTCCGGGAAGCCTGACGCTCCTGTCACTGCATCACCTCATTTTGTCACTCCTACCTGGTGTCGGTGTGTCCGACGGCACCTCACCATCTTCTCCTGGCTCTGTTTTTCCAGAGGATCAGAGACCTGGAGGAGAAGCCAAAATTGGGAGCACTGGACAGGAACAAAATCCCCAAGTTCTGACCAGCCACACCCTCGGGCATTGGCTCACAGACCCATCTGGGGGACACTGCTAGATGTTTCTTTCTCCCCAGGAGAAGCAAATGGGTTGGCATCTGTGCTGCCTTTCGTGACACAAGTTCTGGCTTGGCTACAGGAGACAAAACTCGGCCCTGCCTTGGTCTGGGGACTCCTCCCACATCCCACAGAAGGTTCTCAGAGGCCCAGCCAGGAAGGACTCTGAAGCCAGGAAATCCCGTGCTTCAGCGCCTCCTTCTGTCCCCGTGAGAGACCTACTCTCTGGGCTATGATTGCCTGGGGAAGCCCTTCTCTTCTTAGAAAAAAAAAAAAACAGGGGCTGGAGTGGTGGAACAGTGGGAAGGGCGCTTTGCTTTGCAAGTGGACCACTTGGGTTCTATTCCCAAGATGCCATATGGTACCCTTAGCACCTCAGGTACAATTATTGAGAGCACAACCAGGAGTAACCCCTTGCATCGCCGGGTGTGAACCAAAAAGCAAATAAATAAATTTTTTTTAAAACTTTCTACAGGGGCTGGAGCAATAGCACAGCCGGTAGGGTGTTTGCCTGGCCAACCGGGTTTAATTCCCAGCATCCCATATGGTCCCCCAAGCACCGCCAGGAGTGATTCCTGAGTGCAGAGCCAGGAGTAACCCCTGAGCATAGGCTGGGTAAGACCCAAAAAGCAAAAAAAATATAAATAAAAACTTTCTACAGACATACACTTTTACCAGCAGTACACAAACACACAAACACACAAGTGCTCGCACACACACCCCCACCCCAGTACTCACCTGGATAGCGAGCGGTCTGGGCTGGACTTTGCAACTTGATGTGAGGAAGCAGATATTCCTATTCGAACATACAGTAAACCTGTTAGGATGCTTGCTTTGCTGACACTAATCAATCCTCTGCATCCCCACAGCCCCCAGAGCACTGCCAGGAATAACATCTTAGGCCAGAGCCAGAGTAAGCCCTCAGGGTATCCCCGCGAATGCAAAACCCCACATTCCCTGTGCCAAAAGCAGCCCCAAAAGGAAATTATCATTGGCAAACTCCGGCCACCTACAGATCCACTGCCCCGGTCTGACCCACGACAGCAGCGAATGAAAGAGCTGGAGGGCAGCAGGGTCTCAAGATTTGGGGGAGGGGGCTTTGGCGCTGCACCTCAAAGTGAATCTGGAGATTCTACAGCAGCAAAATTGGTGCAAGGTCCCGACATGGGTCAGCCGGGAGGGTCAAGAAGGCTAAGGCCCCGCCCTCGAGAGCTTCTGCACCCCAAGGCTCGCAGCTCCCCTGCTCAGTCCCACACCCACCCGCGGCTGCCACAATGTGCAGCCAAAGTCGACCATGGCCGCAGCGGCCCCCCAGGACCACACACTCACATTCACGACCCCCACATCCCACTACAAGTCCCAACGAACCTCCCAAAACTCCGCGCCCCCAAAAGACCCCATCATACTTCAGGAACCGCCTGGATATCGGGGAACACACGAAAAATAAGCGCGAGAGGCCCCTTGAGTTGGCGCCGTCCTGCAGCTCACAGCGTGGAGAAGGGGAGGCGCAGGGCACTCAGGGAGTCCACCCCTGTCCTGCAGCAGGACAA